CCCTTTGGGGGAACTCGCATGCGGTTGCTGCGCCCAGTGCAGTGCTTCGTGGCCCCATAGGGAGCCCCACCGAAGGTCCCAGTGGCAGAACTCGCTTGCGGTTCCTGCGCCGAGTGCGGTGTTTCGTGGCCCCACAGGGAGCTCCACCGAAGGTGCCAGTGGCAGAACTCGCAAGCGGTTCTTGCGCCGAGTGCAGCGTTCCGTGGCCCCATAGGGAGCTCCGTCGAAGACTCCAATGGTGGAACTCGCAGGCGGTTGCTGCGCCCAGTGCGGTGTTTCATGGCCCCCCCATCGGGAACCCCGCCGAAGGCCCCAATGGCGGAACTCACAGGTGTTTGCTGCGCGCAGTACAGCGTTTCGTGGCCCAATAGGGAGCTCCACCGAAGGTCCCAGTGGCAGAACTCGCTTGCGGTTCCTGCGCCCGGTGCGGTGTTTCGTGGCCCCGTAAGGAGCTCCATCGAAGGTCCCAATGGCGGAACTCGCATGGAGGAGGAAGAGGAGGAGGAGGAGGAGGAGGAGGAGGAGGAGGAGGAGGAGGAAGAGGGGAAAGATGAGAGAGGAGGAGAGGAGGAGGAGGATAGGAGAAAGGAAGGACGAGAAGGAGGGGAAGAGAGAGAGGGAGGGGAGGAAAAGCAGAGGAGGAGGAGGGAGGAGGAGGGAGGAGGAGGGAGGAGGAGGCAGGAGGAGGGAGGAGGAGGCAGGAGGGAGGAGGAGGAGGAGGAGGAGGAGGAGGAGGAGGAGGAGGAGGAGGAGGAGGAGGAGGGGGGAAGGCGGACGGAGGATCGACAGGAGGGACTGGGGGTTAAGCGGCCTGCAAACTGATCTTCGATCGGTACAGATTTTGGGCGTCTCGGCCCACTTTTCCAGGGTCCTCGGGAGGCCCCTGGGGGAGCTCCTGGGGCCTCTGGAAGGGAGAAGGGGGAGAGGAGGGGGAGGCGCACGGCGCGGGGGGTATCGTTCTGAGGGTGCACCCCCGCCGGGGTCCATTTCGATGCCGATTCGGGCCGGCGCGCTTCGCTTCGATTCCGATTTTCGGGCGATCCGATGCGTCCCTATGCTTGCGTGGCGCTGTCTTATGCATCCAGGCGCCGCCGATTCGATTCCACCTCCGAGCCGAAGCGGTCCGATCCGACGCACATTTCGATTCGATGCGATTTCCCGACTCGATGCTGACTGATTCTGCCCTGCCTCCCAGGAGCCTTTCTGCCCAGACGTCCAGAACGGTGGTTACCACGCGAGCCCGCCTACGCATCACGCAGGGTTCGAGCTACACGGTGCTCTGGCGATTCCGTGGGCCGCTTTCGTTTCGATCTCGTTCTGCAGCAAAGGCGGCGCGATGACCGAATGAGGGAGAACGAACACAAAACGAAGACGGAACACACTGCTCGGGTCGAGTGTTGGTATGGCCCTTTTCTGGGGCCGCGGCCTCCACGCCGTGCCCCGACGCGCACCAACGGGCCCCTCAGAGGAGCGCGCGCGCGCGCGACTCTGGCGGTCGCTTGGCTCCGCTTCGCTCCGCCTCCTGCCCCGAAGCCCCTGAGGAGGCGCCCCGCCTCCCAGAGTCAGGAGGAAAAGAAACACACAGACACAATTAATCCTCGATTTCCCAGAAAACATGGGAAAATATGGGAAGTGGGCGGGAAGACAAAAACCCATAAAATATAGGAAAATATGGGGGATATTTTTATTTGTGTGTATTTATTTGTGTGTCCCAATCTCCCTTTACAGAGGTGCTCCTGCCCCGGCCAGGGGGGGGCACCCTTCCGAGAGGGCACCCCGCCCCCCAGAAAGCGCCCTCTGCCTGCCTGGAGGCCCTCCGGCAGGCCCCTCGGGGGCCGCTCCTCGCTCCGAGGCCCCCTGCCCTGGGCCGCCCCCCCCCCCACCTCGCCCCGCCCCCTGCTGCGCGCCGCCGAGCGTGAGCGGCCACGGTAACGTATATCTAGGCCTCCCAGATGGGGTCGGAGTAGGTGGGGTTGGAGGATCGCGCCGCATCGCCGATGCATCGGCGATTCACCAGCGGTGCGGCTCGATGTTGGGCCCAAGTTTCTCCACGCCGACGTCGCCGGTGCATCGCCGATGTCGCCAGTGCATGGCCGATGCATCGGCGATGCATTGCCGATGTATCGGCGATGCGGCGAGATCCTCCGACCCCATCTATTCGGACCCCATCTAGGAGGCCACTAGTATAGCGGAGCATCGGGGCCAGAACATTGTCAGCTATACTATGTGATGCTTGCCCACCACTTTGTGGCACGCGGCGGCCCAAACGCAGCGGATGTTTTTGTCAGCACCCGTCGCCCAGAGCACTGGCCGGAAACTTACACACTGTACACATATTCCCATGGCGTTTTCTCTGCGAAGCCCCATGGGACATGGCCCAGGCAGTCCGGTGTACCCACGCGCGGTCCCCTAAGCATGTTGACCAGTAGGGTTCGGCGACAGGCGGAGGAGGAGGATGAGGAGGATGAGGAGGAGGAGGCGGAGGAGGAGGAGGAGGAGGAGAGGGAGAGAGGAGGAGGAGGAGGAGGAGGAGGGAGAGGAGGAGGAGGAGGAGGAGGAGGAGTAGGGAGGGAGGAGGATGAGGAGGAGGAGAGGAGGATGAGGGGAGGAGGAAAGAGGGGGAGGAGGAGGAGGAGGATGAGGGGAGGAGGAGGAGGAGGAGGAGAGGGAGGAGGAGGAAGAGGATGAGGAGGAGGAGGAAGAGGGAGGGAGAGGAGGAGGAGGTGGAGGAGGAGGCCTCCTCCTCCTCCTCCTCCTCCTCCTCCTCCCCCTCCTAGCCGTTTCGGGGCGAGACAGCTCGCCGTGCGGGTTCATACGGCGAAGGGCGTGCCGATGGCCCTGGTGCCGCTGGCCTGCCGGACTGGCAGGAGGCCCCCAGACTTCCGCGCGCACGTCGGAGCCGGCGGCCCCAGACCCCTCCTCCTCCTCCTCCTCCTCCTCCTCCTCCTCCTCCTGATCCTCCTCCTCCGTAGCCATTTTGGCTCAAGCCGTTTCGGGGCGAGCACGAGGCTCGCTCGTGCGGGTGCATACTTCGAAGCGGCGTGCCCCCGCGGGCCGATGGCGAATGGTGCTGCTGGAGGCGCACGCGGCGCCAGCCAGGGTGGCGACCCCTGGACGTGCAACGCGTGTGCAGCTGGCTACAGCAACATGGCGTGGCGCACGGTGTGCAGGCTCTGCCAGGCGGCGCGGCCGCCGAGAGGTGCTGGCACGATCGGCGACGCCATCGACAAGGCCAAGAAGGTCAAGGCCAAGGGGAAGGCGAAGGCCGTGGCGAAGCGGGTGCGGTTCGCCTCGGATGGGCCTGGCCCGTCCGCCGCCGCGGCCACGCCGGCGCCGTGGGCGCAAGGCGCGGCCAAGCAGGCGGCCGCGGAGAAGCCCAGCAGCGGCGGCGGCAAGGACGAGGAGGTCCGCCTGGCCCTCCTCCGTCACTTTGGCCCCAGGGAGGGCTGGTCGGCGGCCCTGGTCCAGGACTTCGGAGCCCTGGTGCCCGAGGCCGACGTGCCGCCGCCTGCGAAGCCCTTGGCCGAGCTGTCTCTCCAGGCCCTCCTGGCCAGGGAGGCGAAGGTCAAGGGCCAGGCCGGCCGTGCCGAGGCCATGCTGGCGGCGGCCAAGGAGGAGCAGGAGGCCGCCGCGGCGCGCGTGGCGGAGCAGGAGGGCGTCCTCCAGAAGCGCCGAGACCAGCTGGAGGAGGTGGCCGAGGCGGTGCGCGCCAGGAAGCGCGCCGACCTGGCGCAGCACACAGGCCCGTCGCCCATGGAGGTGGGCGAGCCCAAGGAGACGGGAGACCTGGACAAGGCGCTGCTCTGGAGCCTCGAGGGCCTCGAGGCCGAGCGGGAGCGGGTGCTGCAGCTCGGGGAGGACGGCGACGCCCTGCTCGCGATGGCCGCGGAGGCCCGCTGCCTCGTGGAGAAGCTCGCTGCCGCCGACGCCCGCGCCCGCGAGGCAGCGGCGGCCGAGCGAGCCCGTGCGGCTGTTGCTGCCGCCGAGCGGGCCGCCGCCGCGCAGGAGGCCGCCCCCGCGGCCGCTGGCGAGGTGGATGGCGCTGCTGGTCCTCCTGGAGACCGCAAGCGCGTCGGCGACCTCGGCCTGGGCCCAGAGCTCGACGGGCTCGATGCCTTGTTCGACGAGGTCGGCATGGAGGGCGAGCAGCAGCGGGAGGCCTGGCGCGCAGCGCTGGCCAAGCGCCAGCGAGTGGCAGGCCCAGCCTCTGGGTAGCCGCCCGCAGGCGGTGGACGTGGTGGAGCTGGTGTCGGCCAACGCCACCGCGTGGGGCTCCGCGCAATCGCTGGTCGAGTGGCTGCACGACGGCGTGGGGCGGCTGCCCGAGGTGCTCTGCCTCCGGGAGCACCGCCTCAAGGGCAAGCAGGCGGTGGCCCGCGCTGCGGGCTGGATGCAGGCGCGCGGCTTCAGCTGGCACGGCCAGGCTGCGATGGCGACGGGCCCTGGGCCGCTGGAGAGATCAGGAGGTGCGGCTGTGGCCGCGCTGCGGCCGTCTGCGGCAGTCGCGGCGCCAGGGCTCCCAGCCCATCGGGTCCAGGTGTGCGAGGTGAACCTGGGATTCAGGGAGCCGTGCTGTGTCATCTCGTCCTACTTCGTCACGAAGATAGGCAGGGCGAAGGAGAACATCGGGCTCATGGCGGCGCTGCACGAGCACGTCGGGCAGCTGGAGTCGCCGTGGCTGGTGATGGGCGACTGGAACATGGAGCCCGAGGACGTCCGTGAGTGGGCACGCAGCGCGGGCGCTGCCCTTGTCGTCCCAGGGGGGCCGACCTGCGGCTCGAAGGTCTTCGACTTCGCTGTCGTCAGCAAGGTCCTCACGGGCTTCGTGGAGACGGTGGAGGTGCTGCTGCAGGCGCCGACGAGGGACCACGTGCCGCTGAAGGTGGTGCTCCGTGGCGCGGGGCCAGCGGCGAGGGTGCAGCGGCCGCTGTTCCCTGCCGCCTTCCCGCTGCCGCCTCCGCCGCCAGCGAGGCCAGCGCCGCGTGAGCGTGGGTTCTCGGCCTGGAGCCCAGGAGGTGAGCAGCCGCTCAAGGTCGGCCGCCAGGAGTGGTTTGAGGCGGCGGAGGCCTACCTGATCGACCTCCACGAAATCGTGCCGCCCAGCCGTTGGAAAGGGCGGGCTGACGGGCTGCGCACGCAGAAGGTCAAGATGGAGGTGGCCTGGAAGCAGGACCTCAAGAGGAGTGTTGGCGCGGCGTGCAGACGCTGGATGTCGTTTGCGGCGGCGTGCTCCCGCTGGCGCGCGCTGCAGGAGGCGGCGCCGGGAGGTCGCTGCGCGGCGCCGCTGCGCAAGCAGCGCCAGGTGCTGGAGGCGTTCGAGCTCGAGTGGCCTGAGGACGGCCCGCTCGCAGGGCTGTCGGTCGCCCGCGTTGTTGGCCTGCTCAGCACCTCATCGTGCAAGCTGACGGTGCAGTTCGTCCAGGAGGAGGCGAGGCGGCGCTGGATGCAGGACAAGCAGCGAAGGGCTGCTGAGTGGCGCGCCTGGGCCCAGGCTGCTGCCGCCGAGAGGGGCGGCTCGGCGGCCCACCGCTACATCAAGCAGGTCGCGGTGTTGCCCACGGTGGTGCACGCGGGCGCAGACGGCGACGATGGCCCGCGCATGCCTGTAGCAGGCGAGGCCGCGGTGGCTGCACTGCTGAAGGCGTGGCAGCCCCTCTGGATCAAGCCGTCGCGCGCTGGCGAGGTGGCGCCTGAGGACTGGGACATCCAGGAGTCGGTGCTGCCGCCGCTGGAGCCCGAGGCGACTGGAGGCCAGCGGCCGATCGGCCTCACGGCCATCTGGCTGAGGGTGCGGAGCAGGATGCGACAGCCGCTGGTGGCCCGCTGGGAGGCCTCGCTGCAGAACCCCGCCTTCTGGGGCACGTCGGAGTGCCCGTGCGAGCGCGCAGGGGCGGTGCACAACCTCCTGGCGGCCTTCGCTCGCCGGAGTCACCGACCTGGCGAAGTTCTACGAGCATGTCAGTCACGAGGAGCTGCGCGCGCAGGCGGTCGCCACGGGCTTCCCGCTCGCGCTGCTGCGGTGCTACTGCGTGTCGTACTGTGCGCAGCGCTGCGTGTCGTGGTGCGGTTCAGTCTCCAAGCCGTTCGAGGCGAACGGCACCATTGTGGCGGGATGCAGTGGGGCGGTCGGACTGGCCAAGCTGCTGGTGCATACCCTCTTCGTGAAGGCCATGCGTGAGAACCCTGTGGTTCGCCTGCAGAACGTCGTGGACGACGTGCTGCTGCAGGCGGTCGGTGACGAGGCTCAGGTGGTGCAGCAGCTACCCAGGGCCATGGCTGCCCTCATCGAGGGCCTGGTCGCCAAGGGGCTGGTCATCTCGGAGGCGAAGACGGGCTACCTGGTGAACAGCGAGGACCTGGGCGACGCGCTGGACGGCTGCTGGGCGCACGGGCCGCTGGCCCGCTGGGCAGGTGCCCGCTGCCTGGGAGGTGACGCCACCGACGGGCGCTGGAGGCGCGTGGGCGAGCAGGACGCGAGGCTTGGCCGCGCGGCGGCGGTCAGTGCGCGGGCGCGCCTGCTGCGCGGTGCTGGTGCGCGGGTGGGCCACATCCAGAGGGGGGGCCCCGCTGCCGCCGCTGTCTGGGGCTCCGCCGTGACGGGCCTCGCCTGCGGGAAGCTGCGCGGCCTGCGGGTCGCCGCCATGCGCGCGGAGGGCAAGCTGCCCATGGGCGCCAGCGTTGGCCTGCGGCTGCGGGCGCAGCAAGGCGCCGCCCACCGAGACCCCTTCGTGGTGCACGCGGTGGAGGTGGCACGCTCCTGGGGCGCGACGCTGGAGACGGGCCTGCCCAGTGCCGCGGTGGTGCAGGAGTGCTGGCGCGGGGCGCAATGCCTGCTGGAGCTGCGCCGCCCCTGGGGGCAGTGTCGCGACCCTGCGCAGGCGTGTGTGCTGGCGCTGAGGCGGGTCGGCTGCGAGATGGCGGCCTTCAATGCCGTCATCGATTGGCAGGCGCGGGTCTTCTCGCTGGAGTTCTTCTCGCCAGGCATGCTGGTGCAGGTGGTGCGCACGTCGGCGCTGCTGGCCTCGGATGCGCTCGCGCTGCAGCGGCTGCGCGGGCCTGGCGCCTGGGCATGGCCTGCGAACTGGAAGGGGCTGGAGCGCCTCCTCCGCGTGAGCCGCCGCCTCGAGAAGCAGGTCTCCGCTGAGGCCGCCCCTGGCTCTGGCCGCCAGGGGCCCGCGCGGCCGCCGCCGCTCCGGCAGGCCCGTCACAGGCGCGCGCTCGTGGCGGCCCTCGGCGGCCCCCACTGGCCGCAGGAGCGACTCTGGAAGGAGGGCAAGGCGCTCGACGGCCGCTGCCGCCTGTGTGGAGGCAGAGGCACGCTGTGGCACAGGGCCTTCGAGTGCGACGCCTGGCAGCCGCTGCGGAGGAACGCGCGCTCGCCCGAGCTGCTGGAAGGGGCAAGGCTGGTGGCGCAGCGCGGGGATGCCGCGGCGGAGCTCTTCGCGCGCGCGCTCTGCCCCGACCCTGCCCTTGCCTTCCCCGCGGCGGCAGACGCTGCGCTCGCGGCCCCGCGCTGGTCCGGCGCGCCGCCTGGCTCGAAGTTCGCGGGCAGGGTCTTCGTGGATGGCAGCGCCAGGTTCCCCGCGCTGCGAGGGGCACGCCGCGCTGGCTGGGCTGTGGTGCAGATCGGCCTCGGCGGGGAAGTCATCGGCGGGATGCACGGCATCGCCCCGTGGAGGTACGGACCCGAGCAGGAGGCCAGGGGCGGCGAGGACTACGCGTTCCACATGCTGGCCCAGTACTGGCAGGCGTCGGACGACGGCGCGGGCCTCGAGGTCTTCTGCGACTGTGCTGGCACGGTCGGCCTGGCGCTCTCGCGGGGCAAGGCCCTCGCGCCGCTGCAGGCGCGCCGCCACCTGTGGAAGGAGTGGTGGAACGGGGCCTGGCATGACGGCCACAGTGCGCAAGGTCAAGGCGCACAAGGCGCTCGCCGCGGCGTCCACCTGGGGGGAGGAGCTCATGATCAAGGGCAACAGGGCAGCCGACCTGTGGGCCAAGAGGGGCGCCGCCCTGTGGCCGATCGACGAGGAGCTGGTCTGGTTCCTCCAGGTGTGCGCCTGGCGTGCGGAGGAGCTCGGGCGCTGGATCGGCGAGCTGGCCGCCGCCACGGTGGACCGCGAGAAGCTGGACTCCGACGGGGTGGTAGGCACGGCCGACCTCGTCTACGACATCCCGCAGGAGGCGCTGGACGCGGCGGAGCAGGCCGACGAGGAGGTGGCGACGGCGGCGCTCGAGGCCGAGCTCGTGCATGGCCAGGCTCCTGCTGCTGGTGCTGGGGCTGCTGCTGGCGCGGAGCTCAGCCAGCCACCCGACGCCGCTGCCGAGGCCGCCGCCGTCGAGCTCGAGGACGCTGCGGCAGCCGCCCCCGAGCTGCAGGCAGCAGTGGCAGGAGCAGGCGTGGCGCGGGAGGTGCGAGGGCACTGCATCGTCGTCTCACGCCTGGAGAACGGCGACGGGGCCATGGCCTGGTGCCTGACGTGTGGCTGCCGTTTCTGGAAGAGGTCCCCTCCTGCAGGGACTGGCCTGCTGGGCAGCTGCAAGGGGCGACCTGCCCCTGGCGAGCGGGCGGCAGAGGCGAGGCGGCTCCTGATGCGTCTCCAGGAGCCGAAGAGCAAGGCGCGGCTCCTCGCCCCGCAGGCGCCCACTGCCGAGGAGCAGGCGCGGCTCGCGGCGGTGCTCCGAGAAGGCGCTGGCGAGGCAGGCGGCGCTGGGCCCCCCGCTGGGGCTGGGCGGCCGCCGCGCTGGGGGCTGCGGCCAGCCGTGGCGGATGTCTGGCAGGCGGCCGCGCTCCACGGCTTCGCCTCGCCCGCCGCCGCGGCGCGCTGGGCGCAGGCGCGCGTGAAGGCGGGCTGGGAGTCGCTCTTCGGCGACGGTGGCGCGGCGTGACCGCGCTTCGACGGCGCCTGGTTTGGCCCGCGGGCAGGGCGCCAGGGGGCCGAACGAAAAAATTGCCCAAAATGGCCTCCTCCTCCTCCTCCTCCTCCTCCTCCTCCCCCTCCTCCTCCTCCTCCTCCGCCTCCTCCTCCTCCTCCTTCTCCTCCTCCTCCTCCTCCCTCCCCCTTCCTCCTCCTCCTCCTCCTCCTCCTCCTCCTCCTCCGCCTCCTCCTCCTCCGCCTCCTCCTCCTCTTCCTCCTCCTCCGCCTCGTCCTCCTCCTCCTCCTCCTCCTCCTCCCTCCCCCTTTCCTCCTTCCTCCTCCTCCTCCTCCTTCCTCTGTCATCCCCATCGTCGGGCATGGCGCACGGAAGGACTAGGGTGGAGACAGGATGTTTTCCATAGCAGCGCGGGGAGAGGGGACGCAAGTGCACTAAGCCTAAAAGGCTCGCGACGGTGAAGCCCGAAGCGGAGAGAAGCGGGAGAGGGGAGCGACCCGAGAGACACACGAGGGGGACCCAAATTAGAGATGGGGGACAGCGGGCCAAATTCTGGCGGGCTGAAACCTGCTCTCACCGCCGGGGTCCTTCGTTCTCCTCCAGCCGTTTCCTCCTCCTCCTCCTTTCTCCGACCCGGCCTTGCCGGGCACGCAGTCCCGCACCTTGGGCATGTCCAAGGTCTGAGGGCGGGTCTGCGGGTCGAGGGACGCCGTCGTCGTCGGCGCCGTCGCCGCCACGGCCAACGTCGCCCCCGCCACCGTCGTCGTCGTCAGAGACCCTAACCGGTCAAAACTACAAAACTCGGCACAGTTCCCGAGGACGGCCCCTCCGCCCTCGTAGGACAAGGAGGCAGAGACACCCTCGTCTCTAGCCAGAGAGAGCCAGACGGGCCCGTCGGGTCCCGGAGCTCTCAACCCCTCGGCGTCCAGCATCTTCTTGCTGGCGCCCCGCGATCTCGATTTCAGGCTCGCGTTCAGCGACCGTTCGTCTAAGTGCCCGTGCTCGTCTACAAGCACGAGCGAGGCCTTCGAGAGCAAATCTTTCAGGGCATGATTGCCCGAGACAGGGTCGACCTTGGTGAGAGGATCCGATGGCATTCGGGCGTGGGGGACCCACCTAACTCGCGAACCGACCGAGGCGAGCGAGTCCCGAATCACGGCAAGTTCCACAGCGTTCCTACGATCGGCTCTCGAGCCGGCTGAGTTACGACTGAGCACGTCGAAGACCGACTTCGCGTCCACGACCGAGAGACCCGAGGCAGCTTCCCCCAGACAGCAATCCTTAGCCAGCATGACCGTAAATGGTCGCTGGCCCTCGAACCACGAAGGACGGGGAACGTCTCCAAACACCGCGTCCCTCCAAAGGACTTGGATCCATTGGGCCTCCCCGGTGGCCCCTGACAAGGCCAGAGTCTCCGCCGCCACCGTGGAAGCCACGGCACGCTTGATCCTCAAGGATCGCCAGGCCAACACGCTCACCCGAGCACGCCTGTTCTCTCTTATGATAGAGTCCGCGGCCATGATGAGCCACGCTCCCTGGGCACCCCCTCTACGAGCACTACTGGGGCCACCAGCATCGCTGGCCGCGACGAAAGTCACTGAAGCAGGGTCGAGGTTCCAAATAGTCAACCTCTGTTCCGGTGACGCCTTTAAGAATTTCACAACCTTGATCAGTGCTAGCGCATCTGCCACAGAAGGGGTGGGCAACGCTGCCGCCAACAAAGACGCAGAGCCTGCCACGTCAGGACGAGATTCCCGAGCCAGCCACTGCACCTGAGCGGCCACGGTGCGATGCGATCTGATCTCGTCTCGCGAGAGCGGGGAGTCCACTTGAGTACGACGATCTTTCCCCAGGAACATCAAAGACAGCTGCTCTCTGATGTATTTCTCTTGATCGACCACTATCCGATCCGACAGCTGAGAGATGTGTCTCCCGGCATAGTCGGCCTCGCGCTCTTTCCATTTCCCGAACTTGAATCGATCCGTGAGGGCACCCTTCAGAGCAGTCAAAGCTTTCGGCTCCCCAGAAACTATAAGATCGTCTACTTCTATGAGCACTAGGGCCTCCAGCCCTCCTAACCTGGCCCGCTTCAGCCACAGGCATGGCTCCAACAACGATTTCTCGAAACCGAGAGACACCAAGAAATCCGTGATCGTGCGATGCCATAACAATGGCGCGTCGTTGAGTCCGTATACTGGAGCAACCAGCTCGATAAGAGAACCAGGGGGGAGGTGAAGACCGGCACAGGGTTCGACATAAATGGCCCCGTTGGGACGTTCTAGCCGGTTACTTTGGCAGAAGGCGTTTTTCGCATCGGCAACGTGTAAAACCCAGTTCATCGAGGCGATGACCTGCAGTGTGACGAGGATGCTTTCTGTCTGAGGCGTCGGTGCGTACACCGAAAGGTGTTCGCCGTCCGGGTCCTGATGACCGTGGACGCACCATCTCGATTTAGCCTTCGCCTGAGCCCCGACCCCCTCCATCGGCTTAAAACGGCGAACCATCCTGGACGACAGCACTCTGTCCGGATGGCGCCTGCGAGCCAGTCGGGCCTCATCTGGAGTGAGAACGCGGACCGCTCCGGAAGCCAAAACCGCTTCCCACTCAGCGAGATCGGACTCAACAAACTGAGCCCTCTCCTCGGGAGTCAGATCTTTCAGCGAAACTTCGGCCCCGCGGGGATTGGAGACCTTGCCTGAACCCGAGACCGTGGCCGCTCCCGAGGAAGCCCCTGGGTCCTCAAACAGCGCCATATAGTTGGGCGCACCCCTCATGCCGCACCACTGGCGCAGCTCATCCAACAGCATTTCGTCCTGGACTTCGTCCGGCTCGCTCGCGAGCCCTTCGAAACCCTCCGGGGTCTTCGTCACAAATCTTCCCAAATCCTGGGGCCCAGGGGAAGGAGCCGGCGCGTCTAGCGCTTGACGAAGCTCTGGTGGAAGATCCGAGTGCGCCTCAGTTCTCTCAGGAGGGGAGGGACTGGAAAAAGCAGGAGCGGGTCTGGCAGCCGCGGCCGAAGATGGCCCCGCGGCTGGGAACGGCTCGGCTCTGGCTGAGGGCCGAGCCCGTGGTGCTGCAACTGACCTCAGTCTGGGGACCCGCCCGTACACGTGACATGGATGATGATCCGGCGAGGGTCCCGGGGGCAAACCTGCGGCAGCTCGCGCCGCCTCGATTTCTCGAACCATCGTCGCCACGCGGGCCGGTTGGCCCACCACGTCTTCGATTGGGGTCAGACGAGCTCGGACCGAGCGGTCCTCCTCCTCGGGACCGAGGGTCCTGCTCAGGCCTCTAGACACAGAAGAGGGCGGCTCCGATCGATCAAGCTCGGAACCGCTCGTGACCCTCGCCATGGACGGCTCCGAAGCCTCTGGAACCAAAGTCTCGTCGCGGCTCGGCGCCTCCGCGCGCACCTCAGAAGGTCTAGGCACAGGCGCAGAGCCAGCGGCAGCCGGAGCCGAGGCAGTAGCTTCGGCTGGATTCAAAACTCTGGTCTCGGGACTGGGAGCCACGCGCTCACCAGCATCCGGACCGTCCCAGGCCTCGGGGGGAGGAGGTCCCTCCGCAGCAACATCTATGGCCCCCGTCTTACGTCCAGGAGCACGGATCTCTTCCCGCAGGGCATCGAAACGAGCCGAATCCAGCAACTCGGCGCCGAGGGATTCCTGGCGCGTGGCCGGCCTCACTTGCTCCTCTGAGCACTTTAGGAGCCGCGTCCTCATGGCGACCCACACAGTCCCCCGATTTTGGTACACGACCGCTCCTGGGCCCGTCCAGCGGTACCGCTGCAAAGAGTGAGACCGGTTCGACCCCGTCACTCGCCTCCACACGTACACCCACTCTCCAGGCTTGAAAAATCGCTCGGCGTGGAGCCTCGCACGACTAGCTTCAGACAGCCTGGACCTCGCGTCCAAGGACGCCATAGCCTTACGAGCCTCTTGGCGGAGAACGTGCCTCCGGGCAAACTCAGCTGCTGCCGAGTCCCGCTGGGAGGTGCCTCCGAGCACATCTTCGCAGCCAACCAAGTCCAGCTCATCATCGGACAAAAGAGATCGTGGAACCCTGGGAGCCCTACCAAGGACCATCTGGATCGGGCTAAAGCCTCCCCGATGATACGTGCTGTTTTTGGCCGCGACCGCCTCGCAGAGGAGGATCTCGACCTCACCCCGGGACCCCGGACTCGTGGCCAAGGAGGCCTTGGAAACCGCGTCCTTGAGAATTCCCCCGTGTCGCTCGCAGCGACCGTTGTAGCGAGGGGAGTTAGCTGGGACCACTTGATGGAATATGCCAAGATGCTCGCAGCCGCGAGCGAACTCGCGATCAAATTCCCCCCCACCGTCTGACATCAGCACCTCGGGCAGACCGAAAGGCCTCACCCAGAGCTGGAGGAAGCCCTTCCACGTGGCCTTAGCTGAGTCATTAGGGAGCAGGCACGCTTGCTGATAATTCGTGCCGTGACAAATAACGTTCAACACTGGTGTGCTAGCCCCCTCCACCTCTAGGTAAAAGAGATCAAGCGCGACGAGCTTGTTAAACTCATACGTGCACGGAAGATGGGCGTGTCGACGCCAGTGAGCCCTGGAGTGAGAGTCACACGCCCCGCACTTGAAATAATTCTTGGTCCAATCGAGGACCTCCGGTTTCGCTCGGGCCACCCTGAGGGTCCGGAGAAAGTCGGCCAGGGCCGGATGGCCCAAGTTCACATGGAGCTTGTGAACCTCTCGCTGCAAATCGGGATCCAGGGTCGCCTCGGAGTTGGTCTCGGTCCCCGGGGCCGCACTCGGTTGGCCTCGAGGGCCTTTCCAGGTTTCCGGAACGTCTTCGTCAGACTCGTCGTCCGGGGGCCCGTCCTCGGGAAAGGACCTGACCGGAGGTCCACCAAAGTAGGGCTCAAAACGATCGGGAGCCTCGACCGGCTCGTCACTCCAGCCGGCCCAGCCGCTCAGGTGGTGATGACACCACGCCACGCCCTCGGCCGCGGACGCCATCGTAGACACCAGCTCGTCAGGGTAGGT